TTTACAACTGGATGAGAAAGACACATTTAGGAGATATTGCCGCTAGATTCCGTAATCCTTGTAAATATATATATTTTTTCTTATATCTACTGTTAATTACATATGAATAATACTTAATTTTATCTACAAAAAACGAATCCAAGATAAAAATAGTTAATAGTACGTAAGACACTGAAAGATAAGTCCTTGTAGATATGGAACGTATGTCTTATCAACTGTGCTACAACAGCCATGTCCCGTATCAATAACGAACACATTTTAATACTTTATCAACAGTTATCAATAGAAATACTTTATCAATAGTTATCAATAGAAATACTTTATCAATAGTTATCAATAGAAATACTTTATCAATAGTTATCAATAGAAATAATTTATCAATAGTTATCAATAGAAATACTTTATCAATAGTTATCAATAGAAATAATTTATCAATAGTTTATCATAGAAATACTTTATCAATAGTTATCAATAGAAATAATTTATCAATAGTTATCAATAGAAATAATTTATCAATAGTTATCAATAGAAATACTTTATCAATAGTTATCAATAGAAATAATTTATCAATAGTTATCAATAGAAATAATTTATCAATAGTTATCAATAGAAATAATTTATCAATAGTTATCAATAGAAATAATTTATCAATAGTTATCAATAGAAATAATTTATCAATAGTTATCAATAGAAATAATTTATCAATAGTTATCAATAGAAATAATTTATCAATAGTTATCAATAGAAATAATTTATCAATAGTTATCAATAGAAATAATTTATCAATAGTTATCAATAGAAATAATTTATCAATAGTTATCAATAGAAATAATTTATCAATAGTTATCAATAGAAATAATTTATCAATAGTTATCAATAGAAATAATTTATCAATAGTTATCAATAGAAATAATTTATCAATAGTTATCAATAGAAATAATTTATCAATAGTTATCAATAGAAATAATTTATCAATAGTTATCAATAGAAATAATTTATCAATAGTTATCAATAGAAATAATTTATCAATAGTTATCAATAGAAATAATTTATCAATAGTTATCAATAGAAATAATTTATCAATAGTTATCAATAGAAATAATTTATCAATAGTTATCAATAGAAATAATTTATCAATAGTTATCAATAGAAATAATTTATCAATAGTTATCAATAGAAATACTTTATCAATAGTTATCAATAGAAATAATTTATCAATAGTTATCAATAGAAATAATTTATCAATAGTTATCAATAGAAATAATTTATCAATAGTTATCAATAGAAATAATTTATCAATAGTTATCAATAGAAATAATTTATCAATAGTTATCAATAGAAATAATTTATCAATAGTTATCAATAGAAATAATTTATCAATAGTTATCAATAGAAATACTTTATCAATAGTTATCAATAGAAATAATTTATCAATAGTTATCAATAGAAATAATTTATCAATAGTTATCAATAGAAATAATTTATCAATAGTTATCAATAGAAATACTTTATCAATAGTTATCAATAGAAATAATTTATCAATAGTTATCAATAGAAATACTTTATCAATAGTTATCAATAGAAATACTTTATCAATAGTTATCAATAGAAATACTTTATCAATAGTTATCAATAGAAATAATTTATCAATAGTTATCAATAGAAATACTTTATCAATAGTTATCAATAGAAATAATTTATCAATAGTTATCAATAGAAATAATTTATCAATAGTTATCAATAGAAATACTTTATCAATAGTTATCAATAGAAATACTTTATCAATAGTTATCAATAGAAATACTTTATCAATAGTTATCAATAGAAATACTTTATCAATAGTTATCAATAGAAATACTTTATCAATAGTTATCAATAGAAATAATTTATCAATAGTTATCAATAGAAATAATTTATCAATAGTTATCAATAGAAATACTTTATCAATAGTTATCAATAGAAATACTTTATCAATAGTTATCAATAGAAATACTTTATCAATAGTTATCAATAGAAATAATTTATCAATAGTTATCAATAGAAATACTTTATCAATAGTTATCAATAGAAATAATTTATCAATAGTTATCAATAGAAATAATTTATCAATAGTTATCAATAGAAATACTTTATCAATAGTTATCAATAGAAATAATTTATCAATAGTTATCAATAGAAATAATTTATCAATAGTTATCAATAGAAATACTTTAGCAATAGTTATCAATAGATATACTTTATCAATAGTTATCAATAGAAATACTTTATCAATAGTTATCAATAGAAATACTTTATCAATAGTTATCAATAGAAATACTTTATCAATAGTTATCAATAGAAATACTTTATCAATAGTTATCAATAGAAATACTTTATCAATAGTTATCAATAGAAATACTTTATCAATAGTTATCAATAGAAATACTTTATCAATAGTTATCAATAGAAATACTTTATCAATAGTTATCAATAGAAATACTTTATCAATAGTTATCAATAG